TACACTGCTGCGATCACTGCTCTGACTGGGGCCCCAACTTTGACAACGACAAACTCAAGATCAGTGACATTGTGCATGTACCTCCGAGGCTCTGCTTGAATATGGCTCTTACAGTACACTGCAACTCCACCTCCAGCTTTTGTTGCCATGTCTGAATAGTTTGTTTTAGGAAACATGCCTGCTCCATGTAAACATGTTGTATCCTTCCAGCTGGAACGTTGGAGCAGCAAAGCATCCGGACAAATGTGTTTCTGTTATGCATAACACATCGGCAAGTCTGAGTTCATGGTGACACTTGATGTCCTCAATGTGAGTCGGAAGTACTTGTGCGTTGCGGTGAATAACTGTCAAACTTAGGGCTGTTTGCTCTGCTGTTTGCACGTGTTGCAAGCGTGGTGTTGAACTTTCGAATGATGCTTGTCTCACATTTTGTAGTGCAGCTGAGATTTGAGGATCAGTGTAGATTTTCTTTTCAACAAAGTCTGTGATGTACAGTCCTTGAAGAGAGGTTGTGCGGCTGAGAGCAACATAGGACATTCCAAGCTCAAACATGCGCTTCAAGCACACCACTGCTGACTGTATTGTCATGCCTTGCACTTTGTGAGCTGTACATGCCTTTGCATGTACAGCCAGCTTCATTGGAAACTGCCTTCGAACCACTCCCTTTGTCTTCATGTTTTCTTCACTCCGCTCTATGCACACCAAGTTATCTGTGGTCCCTTGCATCTTTTTGCGGAATCCCTGTCCTCTGACCCACAGAGTGAATTCTAACTGGAATGCTTGTGATGAACTCTGGCTCCTATCATTTCCAAAGACTTCTCAAACAAATGTATATATCTCGAATACAGAAATGATATGTATCTCAGACAAAATGCTACATGTAGCACCTTTCAGGACCAGTGCTGAACCACACAGTCTATCCACATCGACTATACAATTTGTGTTAGTAGGTGTTAACTTACAATACCTCTGACCAAACAATATTGCTATGAAGGGTCACTAACAGTTAAAGGGAGAGTTACAAACCTAGAGCCACCTCAGTACAAAGATAAAGCTCTGTGTAGAGGACAGTAGCCCGTTCAATGGTCTCCTTCAGCAAACACTATTCCGTTCAAACCTAGCACCCTTTAACGACTCTCAAGCCTTTTGACCTGCCGGCCTTTGGATTTCATTCATGGAGGAAAATGTACAAATTTGCTAAAGCTGTGTGTTCATGACTGTGGCATATGGTACATGTACTTTGTATTAGAGTGATGATACATTGCCTTCCAACCAGTATGTGAACCATAGCATAAAGTAGCTTTAGAGAGAAGTTACAGTAGTGTCTCGCCACTGAAGGAGGGAAATAACAGAAGGTGTACCCGAGGACTGTTAATCCACCCTCACAGGAATACAAGTGAGAAAGTGTAAAGAATACATTTTAAATGGGTTGAGGATGCCTATAGGCTATGCCAGTATTTCTCAAACTGCGGGGCGTGCCCCTCTAGTGGTACGCAGTGGTATTGCAGGTGTGGCGCAGGGGGAAATGCAGAATTTGTTTTCAAGAACTTTATTCATACCTGCAAAGTTGTCGCTTATTGGCGAAATTCAACTAGCCAGCCAGCGTTTCTCAGGTTGGAGTGAGACAAGAAGAAAAGGTGATGTGGTGATATTCGCAATAAAACATCTTTGATGTGACGTGTCGAGTCTTGGTCAATCAGCCATTAACGTTAAACCGGAACACTGGCGGATCTGGTTGCAGGTTGTTTTTTAACTCAAAGTAGAATGAGGATGGTTTCATGGTCATAACTTGTATGACCATGAAACATGAGGGCCAGATACTGATGAGATGATGTGGTCAAAGAGCTTCAGGGAGAGGAGGCTGTTTGTGTAGCGCAGCTTGACGCAGGGCTGAGATGTGAGTGGAGCTGGGCCTGGATAAAGGTGGAGGTCTAAACGGACGTGAGTACAGCTTCTCGCTCTCAGTGTTTTAAATACATTGATAAGGCAGGGTATGCTAAATGCAGCCTCTGCTCCAAGGAGATAAAGTACAGTAACAAGGTCTCACATGCCCTCTCATCACACTGCCAGACACTGTTCACTGTAATGACCACAGCCAGTGTACTTCCAGTCCCAACAGTCCCACGTGCAGTTAAATCACAGCTATTATTTTACTCTTGATAAGCTACCTTAGCCAGAGTAGATTATCATTTTAATTTAAATAATTTAACTGGATTGAATGCATATTAATTGCAAATAGAAGATAGGCCACAATTCTAACAGCTTTACAGTAACAGTGGAAGGTAATATCAAGCCATACAGTAACAGGGTTCAATGAAAACTAATCACTTTATTTTGTATCGGCGATGGTTCTCGGTACTCTTGCTATCTTTGTTTTTATATGACTAAAACTTTGAATGAGACCTCGGTCTCAATGAATTTTGTCTAAATAAAGGTTAATAATAATAGAGCTGAAATATGGATTAATAACTGAATAATAAATTAGTTTTTTGATGTCTTATCACTTCATTTTCTTCTCAGCGTACACAAGAATGCTACATTTTAAAGCTCATATTTAAAATAAAATTCTCCTGGTATGTGTGAGCATATGGCTCACACATATCTGCACTAATTTTGTTTTGTTTTGCACAGGTTGCACGTTATTGTTGTTTTGAAAAGATATGCAGTGTAAAACTGGGTAAAACTCTTTATTGACAAATATTTGAACTTGTTTTGTTTAGTTTTTCACAGGTTGCACTTTATTGTTATTATCTTGAAAAGCTATTCAATGCAAAACAGGTTAATTGCAGCCACAATAAGCTATTTTTTGCCAAATATTAGTTATTTTTTGCAGATAGAACTTTATTTGCATTGTTCTAACAAAGTGATTGCACATTGTATTTGTTTTTGTCTGATGGAGCAATTTGCTTTACTTGAAAGTGATTGCAATTTTCTTTGTTCTATTATTTGAAAAAGCACAGATGGAGGAGTCACAAAATGTTATTATTTCAATAAAAATTCAACATGGACCATTTGGTTACAATTTTGTTGGGGCGGTGGGGCATGAACATTTTTCTTCCTCCAAAGTGGGGCGTGACAGAAAAAGTTTGAGAACCACTGGGCTACGCTGAGTACCTTTACTTCCAACAGCATCTCTCTGGTCAAACAGCATGCTCTGTGATGCTGTTTCTCTGACTAATAACAGCTTTAGAGGAAACATGTGGCTGTCTGTGCAAACTGCCAAAACTCATCTGCTAGAAGAACGCATTTCTTTTGTAGCTCCCTGTGTAATACCTTTACCTGTAGTACCTTTTCTTATGTAATCAAACAAATTGTATAAATGGAAAATGTTTTCCATGTATTTATTCTAAGCCAAATGTATGTCATATATTATGTATTTTAGCCCAGTGTTGCCAACTCTTCTCCTATATGAAAGTAGCTAGCAGAACTAGCTCCAAAAGTCCCTAAATCTAGTGAGAAGATCTGCAACACTGACAGCCCGTCCCTTCAGGTCTCCAAGGCCCCTCCTTCTCTAAGTGAACTGGCGTAAATGGCTGTTGTTAGTATCCAACGCTGTCAAGATAGACAGGTAGGTAGGTAGAAGGGTAGGTAAACAGAGAGGTAGGTAGACAGGTAGGTAGGCAGACAGGTAGGTAGGCCGTCCAATCATTTCCTTTGGCCGAGTGAAATGATTAGACGGCTGATTATGGTCGCGCTACAGCCGCAGACACCAGCTTTTTTTTTTCTTTGTCAGAGCATTTTATTTATTCATTGCTGTCGATATATATAAATATTGCAAATATTACAAAAACATTTATAGAATCATTACCTACCCTAGTTTTAAAGATTTATTATGGTTCAATTTAAATTTCAAATGTGTCAGCAATATATGCTGATGGATTGTTGAGTCTGTTTGTGAATGTCAGTGTTACTAATTTATAGTGGTACTTTTTGTGTAGTCTTCTCTAGTTACATTTTTTGTGGGTAATTATTTGCAACCTATATTAATATGAATACATTTATACGAAACATATGATTTAAATGTAAATGAGGAGAGAACATAATAATGAAGCACCTTGTTTTTACTGTGTTTTCTACTGGACTCTGGAACTCTCCCTTTACAAATGGTGTGACATAATGTGACATAATGGTGTGACATAAGCAGAATGTTTTTTCCTGTAATCCCAGAAACTTTCCTTTTTTCTGATGAAAATAGCTCTTGGTATTTTATCTCTAACTCAGCCATATGTGTACACTTATGCAGGACTTGAAAGACCAGCATGTCTTCTGTTACAGATAGTAATTTTGAATAGTAATTTTCCCCTTTAAAAATAGAATCCCCCATATAAACCAACACTACAACAATTCTATAAAATTCATCAGTTTCATCATCATTATTAGAGAAACATTCGCACAATTGCACTAATGTTGTCTGCGTACACACTCAACATAAATTCAAACTATACTCATGGCTCAATGAGAATTTATAACAACAGCATTTGGTGGCAAACAATGAGGAGAAAGAGAAATGTGGAAGTGATCAACTCAAAAATCAATTGCAAATTCTTTGCTTGAAAATAGTTTTATTTTTTATGTTTTCAAACTAGTGCAAATACATGCAAACTGAAAACAGACAACCCTGTAAGCAAACCGTCTCACAGTAACACAGCAAAACATGAAAGCTTCATACATCACAATCAGAGCCATGGCACTTGATACAGTATGTCGACCTCTCATTGATTTGACCTGGTCTTGTTTTGGTTGTCCTCCAGTGGGCCCTTTACTTCAGTCAAGGTACAGTCAAGTGCTTTTGCAACCTTAGCCTAGCACATACATTTGCCAATAGGCTAGGAGGCAAGAGATCCACCCCAGTTTACCTACATCCATTTGTGCATATTCATTATTCAAGAATACAAAACCACTGAGTCAAATCTCAGCTCATATAAATTCTCTCTCACCCTTTGCTGCTCGCCACATAAAAGATTCATCCCCATTTTTCAGGGAAAATGCTTGGAGGACGATACTCAATATGTATGTAAATTATTAACTAGTGAGAGTGAAGAACAAACAGGTAGAAAAAGAAAGTTGGGGAAATTCGGGAATGTGAAAATACACCTGTTTTGGGTTCATTGTACCATTACAGCCTACCAACTAGAGCTTTAGCATTACTGTCAACCAGAGTCACTAACAGCTACACTGTGTATTTCACCATCCAACTTTTTACAGCTGTAACCTATAGCCACTAGTGTCTCATGACCAACTTTGCACATTTATTGGACCACCTGGCATAGGAATAAGTACTACCAAATGAGAATGATGCGAGGGGACACCCTTGTTTAATACTACAAAAGTACATATTTTACTGAACATCTATGATATATAAAATTACCCTGCTGTCTTTCAAACACGTGAACAAGATTATTGATTAATTTATTGATAGAGGTGAAGGTATTGACGCTGGGTTTTTGTTTTTCCCACTGCTGGTCAGAAGCGGTTGATTGACTCTGTTCTCTGAATCTTTTGCACTCCATAATGCCAACAAAAGCTTCTGATTCCACACAATCAGAGCATCACTGCCATCCAAAGTCCTGGCCCGCCATCTTATAGAAGCGCTGGTTATGCGGCTTGTAGAAATCCCTCAGTCTCTGCATCACCTCCAGGTCGATCGAGACATGCATCCTCCCTTTCGTCTTCCCAAGGCAGTGAGGTTTACTGCTGCCCTCTGGCTTCTTCAGGCAGGGGAAGCCTTTTGTTTTGTTGAAGTAGAAGTGCTTGTCTGTGACAATCCTCTGGAGACCCAGAAAGTCTTGGACTTTGCCCAATTCTCTGGCTGGGTCGGAGATGAGCCTCTCCCCACTGACCAGATGGATCTGAGTCCTGGGGAACCAGGACAGCCAACGCTCCAGGTGCTGGGCGTACAGGCCGATCCACAGCGGGCTCCACAGAGAGTCGATCTGACCTAGAGACAAGAAAGAGGTATACCAAGGTTCTTTATTCAAAACCAGTATTGCTGCGATCAGCATCGCTCATCCAATCGCTCATCCAACTTTTACAACTAAGGTATAACCATTTGACTACTGACCTAGTCCAGGGATTTTCTAAGTCTGACACTGAGGGCCCCTCTAGGACAAAATATGAAAACCATGTCAATGGAACACTTTAAACCTTATTACAGTTAAACATGACAAAAGAGTTCCCCTTCAGACATCTTTTAAGTATGTGAAAATACTCTGCTGTGATTAGTATTTTTTCAACATGGTTTTCCATGGGTCTGGAGGCACATCTACTCTTTCTCTCTCTTTCTCTGTATCTTACCTCACCCCTCCTGCTGCTGCTGTTCATGCTACGTTGAGTAGTGCAGAGTTTTGGAACCCATCCCCTATCAGACTGATAGATCAGACCCCCAGAGGCTTATCTGAATTCAGATCGACTACATATAAGCCTCTGGGTGCAAGGGGCTATATTTTGGAGGTTCTGGTGTAGTCAGCGGATATCAGGGCCAAGACTTGTGCTGCTCATTGTTTACAGTCCGATTAGCAACAAAAGATGCGAGACTGGAGTTGGAGTTGAGAGACGAAATTTACCACTGGGTTTTTCACAAGTAACCAGTTTACAAGCTCATTTTAAACCAATCAAAAGCGGTCTACTGTTTACCTGCATTCAACCAAAGCCTGCTCGAATGTGATTGGTCAATACTACTCAAACTACAAACGGAAACCAGAAAGGCATGACACATTTCCTGAGTCTCGTTTGTGACAAAACCTTGTTGTCTAATGATGATTAGACTAATGATTTGTCTCATGCTACTTGCCTATAAATCTGCACTTTGTATTTACTGTGTGCGGATCCATATTATGTCTTTTTTTCTGTTTAGGCCTTCACTAACTCCTGCACTGTAGAGAAAAACCAAATACTGAGAGGGAAAGAACAGAGCGCAAAATGAAAAAGCTCCAGGATCAGCCCAATGTTAGGAATCAACAGCCAGGAAGACCCCAGGTTTGTCTTTATACAGGTAGTGTGTCATAATGAGGCTGCTATAAACACCAGGATCTGTACCTGTGGTGCGATTCTTGAAAGCCAGACTCTCAAAGGGAGGGATGTCGGGGGTCTTGGAGATGATCTGTGTGTAGTCAGATATGGCTCTGGACACGGGGTCACGGACAACCACAATCAGTTTCACATCCTGTGACATGGCATGGACTCGTGCTGGTGTTTCCTGGGTAACAAAGTAGCGAGGCGTCTTCTCCATAACAATCTGACCGTCCAGGGCTTTGGGCATCATACTTCTGAAAGTACAGGAAAAATCTAGTTAAGATACAAAAATATAGAGAAATTTAAACAAAATGAAGCACAGTGTATCTAGACATTTTTTATATATATATATAAAATGTGCACCCATGAAAACATATATAAAAATATATATGTTTTCATGGGTGCACTACTCAAATGGAAAAAAAATCTAGATACACTGTTTCATTTGTGTATGAAGTGTGGGACATGGTAATAGAGTATGGAAAAATTAACTACTTAAATATCTTGGGAAATAAAGTTCACACTTTCACATTCAATTTCTTAACGAGAATTAGATGAGAAGATTCATACCTTGATGATGATGCTTAGCTTAGCTTAGTCGTTTCCTGTCTCTCGTCCATATTTAGGCTGACAGACTGACATGTAAGTAGTATTGATTTTCTCATATTACTCTCACCAAGAAAGTGAATAAGTGTATTTCCCAAAATGTGAAACTACTGCTACAAAACTTTACAGCTAAGTATGGGGGAATTTAGTGGGAAATAAGTTCAGGCTGCATACATCAGCATATATTTGGCTGAAAGTGAGGTTATTCTTATTATGATACTTCTACAATATGTTGAGTGCTCAGACACACACACACACACACACACACACACACTCCATAATAAAATCCCCCATCAGCCACTTTGACAGACTTCACACTCTTACGGACTAGGCAGAGACAGAGTGTCAATCCACAGAGATCTCCAGTGATCCAGACAAAAGGCAGGTGACAGCTGTGCTACATGAACACAGACGTCTTTCCTTGATGTGTCTCACTCGGCTCACCTCTAACTCCACACCAGAAGCCCAGCAGATGGGACTCATGTCGAGATAAATGACTCCAGAGGGCCCACAGGACCAGCTGGGGACTCTGGGACTTCTGCCAACACACCTGCCACACACCTGACAGGCTTACCAAACACACACATCCTCAGCGTCATTGTCACACACAGCAAGGCCCATACCAGTTTGTTTTGTCTCTTAACTGCAAACTATAGTTTTGTTGACCATTTTCAAATGATTGAATTCTAGAGTATATGTGTCATTTGGGTGCAAAAGCAGTAAAAATAAAGCAGCTAATATTGTAGCAAGCGACGGAGGGCAAGCTGTACCCAGAATGCCGCTTGGCAGTGTATATATATACAGTATATGTAGGATATTCAACCTTTGTTTCTTTATAATGCATGTATTACTTATTAACTTGTTTCTTTACAGGGCTTGTATGAAGGCAATAAAGTTGTTTATGAATAGGAGATGAGTTTACAGATTATTACAATCCCTCCTCTGCATTGTGGAGGTTGGTTTATGGTGTTTTGCCGGTTACACCTACAGTCTATAGGCATATCTATGAGTATGAGTATATCACTTGATGTCTTTTTGATTCCTTACAGTACATTTCGTTTGTACGCCGTCTGGCATTTCGGAGAATAATGCAGCGCAGAGAGTATAAACCTTTGTTCATGCTCGGAGCCACCGTCTACAGAGGCTCAACAAAGCTGAAGAGATATTTTCCTTGCTACCACACTAGTGACTCCTACTGGTTGGCCTGGGTGCCTGCATAGTGGGGCGTGCAATGAGGAAGGTTGGGCTATAAAACTCCAAAGCATTAGAGCTCATCACTGGCAGGTGAATAGAACTGTCTGGCGACACCATGTGTTTAAGAGGAAATTCACCTAAAAAGATGGTCCAATTAATTGGAAGTTTAAAACCCCTGTTTTAGCATAGCATCCTCACACTGCTCATTTACTACTGATGTGAGATCAAACATCCAGTATGATGAACACAGGGATTATCCAGCAGCTTCTAATAAGCCTCTGTTTGCCTTTGAGGAAACTCTCTTTTGTCGCCCATTTCCCGATATTTCAGCAGGCCTCCTATTTCAATAACCTCGGGCCAGCCAAGGCCACTGGCTATTGATCCTATGGGGGCTTAGGGTAACTACTCGGAGGTGGGTGTACAACGGGGAACAGTGGGAATTGTGTGTATTAGGATGAGAGCGAAATGATGGGGCGTATGAAGCGAGAAGGTGTTGGTGTAAGTGTAAGTGTAAGGGACTGAGAATGGTAATGCGACACCGGGTCTCAGCTGGCACCAAGAGTGCCAGGTGGAGACTGGGGGGAGCCAGCACCCTCTAGAGCCCCATCAGTAGTATGCTGTGTCACGTGTGTGTGTGTGTGTGTGTGTTTGTGTCTGAGTCTGTGTGTGTGTGTGTGTTAACAAATGTGAAGCAATTGCAATGGTCATCACATGTACAGCAGGAAAAATTAAGCAAACAATCTGGGTATTTGAGGGTATGCTAGATGAAAGATGTATAATGTGGTCTGTTTATCTTTGATGCCTGATCTAAGAAAGAAACAATAGCCAATCATAGAGCAGAGCAGAGCATGTGTTCACTCTGCACACCCGACTGTGAATTTGTGTGTCAGATATGAGAATGTAGTGTGTATTCCTGTGTTCTTATGCATATGCATGTTACTATGTGTGATATTATTGGACTGCTCATCCATTTCCTCTGTATGGGGGACCATTAAGGGGTCGTTCTATTGTGGCTGTGCCTTGTCCACTTCCAGGAGATATCCATCATAGACCCAGACATCCCCACCCACCCCCACCCCTCCCCCCAAACCCCAGGGGAGGGCCTTAATGAGGGCCAGATACCGGTCTGGGCCTTATGGTGATCACATCACAAACAGTACAGGGACAGGACAGACCACACCTGAACCCCAGTTACACACTACACAAACAAAACTCAGCCAAAACCGATCTGTTCTCATAGCTTTAATCACTTGACACTTCAACATGATGTTTGGTAGTGCAAAAAGTTTTGATTCCCCTCCTGGAGATCAACAGATCCGAAAATCTGCCTGTCTGTGTTTGCTACTAATTCCCGCCCACTGAATCCTGCTGAACAAATTGCTCCCGTAGCTGTGCCTACGGTGTGATAGAATCTGAATTGTAAGTCGCTTTGGATAAAAGCGTCTGCTAAATGATTGAAATGTAATGTAATGTAATTCTTCTGTGATTTGCATGGCAATTATGTCCATTGTACAAATACAAAAACACAAGTAGCACCATGTGCTGTGCCATGGCAGGACAAAGCCACCAATGTATGGGTATGAATTTAAAAACCTCCCTTTGCGAGTTCAATATGAATTGCAAATGAATCAGTACCATCAGAACAGCTGACACTGGAAAGTAATTTCGGCCCCTCGTTATCATTGTAGGTGCTTAGAGGCGTGGTGTCTCCAAATTAAATTAAACTAACAACCTCCAACCTAGAACATAAAAAACTAAAAGTCACTATTTGATCACATCCAAAAACATGGGACTTCCAGCTAAGTATTGCAGCCTGGGAAAATCCTCTCTCTGCAATCAGATCAAAAGGCCCTTAAATTCAAAAAACGGAAATTGGTCTAAAGAGAAGAGACAGAGTTGGGCCATGGGGACACAAAGAAATTACAAATTCAACCCCCCCGAAAAAACACAGAAAATGCCATTTGTATCCAAGTACATTTACTTAGGTGCTGTACTTAATTAAGGGTTCTTTATGAGACATTCTGAACCACTAGATGTCGCTCTTGAGCACCAGCATCTCACCCCAAAGTTATCAGACGTGACTGTCACAAATAGTTCACTGATAAAAGCACTATTAACATGTCTAATGATTTTACAAAGATGCACAATTCCTTTTTTCAACCTTTGTTTCTTTATAATGCATTTAATACTTGACTTATTTGCTTACAACATACAATATGAGTTTACAGTTAATCAATTTTACAATGCCTTTTAAGGAGGTTGTTATAGGGCATTTTGCTGGTTACACTCATTGTTTTCTTGCGTTTTTACAGCATATTTTGTTTGTACGCTGTCTGGTGTTTCTGTGCATGGTACTGTGGCGCCTCCACAGATGGTGCGCGAGCTACGAGCACGGACAAAAGTGTTAGTGCTGAATGCGTTGTTCGTTGCAGTATTCTCAGAAACCTCAATTGTAATTAACTGTAAACCAGGGGTCACCAACCTTTTTGAAACAGAGAGCTACTTCAAGGGTACTGAGTAGTACGAAGGGCTACTTGTTTGATACAAACTTCCTGACTAACAAAGTTGCACAGATCACTTTTTATTAATAATAATAATAATAATAATACATGTGAAGAGACTGTCTGATCACATGTCAATGGTAAATATTCCTCACAATAATTATTAACCTGTGTGTCAAACCAAATACTAGCTGCAGACGTGCTGCAACAACGGATTAATGCTTAGAACATTCAACATTTATTTCAATGAACACTCGCCAGCCAAAATCAGCAAAGAAAATAAAATTGAATGTGGTTAGATTAGCTTAAATCAGTCTGCATTGATCTATAAATGAATGTTGGTGATTCTTACATTATCTGCTGTCCACAGCTGCTTTAAAGTTCAAAGTTCAAAGTTTGCTTCATTGTCAATTCCACAATGTACTGAACATACAGGGGAGTTGAAAAGACGTTTCTCTCTAGTCCAACATATAAACATATAAAGTGAATACAGTGCAATAGATTACAAAAACATTTAGACAATATATACCGTATATAATAAGAGAAAAAAACAAAAAAACTATCAATCTGTATTTAGCAGCAGTTGGACATGGGGAGTCTTAAAAGAGAGGAGGGTGAGAGTTCAGAGAGTTCAGCGAGTTCAGCTTCCTAACAGCCTGGTGGACGAAGCTGTTTGAGAGTCTGGTGGTGCGAGCACGGAGGCTCCGGTATCTTCTCCCAGAGGGCAGGAGGCTGAAGAGACTGTGTGAGGGGTGGATGGAGTCGCGCATAATCATGGTCACTTTGCGGGTGAGGCGAGTGTCGTATATGTCCTGCAGGGAGGGGAGTGAGGGGAGTGAGGCACCAATGATCCTTCCAGCTGTGTTCACTATGCGCTGCAGGGCTTTCCTGTTGTAGTCAGTGCAGCTTCCGCCCCACACAGTGATACAGTTTGTCAGGATGCTCTCAATGGT